TTTCCTTCTCTCCTGTATGCTGGCTGCAGCTGCTGTGGGAGTAGGATCGGTGTAAAAATGAAAAGTGGGGGTGAGAGGACAAATATGTCATATATACTCGCCCCTTATTTTTCCTGAGTGAACACAGTAAACGATCGGTACTGATCACTCACTGTGTTCATTCATAACTGAAGCATAGGAAACTATGTTTACTATGCTTCAGTTTGTGGATGTATAAGGAGCCTCCTTGGATGTGCAGTGTGCTTCCTGTTCATTCATCTGCAGTGAAGCTGAAGATGCAGAGAAAGGGATTGAGAAATATATCTGCGCTCAATCCTTTTCTCTGTCTCAAAAGTGAGACATCAAGGGTCTGTTTAGGAACCTGATATTTTACTAACAGTCCTCTAACAGGGCTGTTAAAAAATTTAAAAAAATATGTGAAAAAAAAATGTAAGTGGTTATAAAGGCAAATTTTTTTTACCTTAATACATTTTCTGCATTAAGGTAAAAAATGGCCCTCTCTTGATTCAGCACTGTGCCCATCTGTTGCAATGCTGCTCTCTCTCCCTGGTGAGCACAGGACAGATTGAGACCAGCGGGAGCCTATGACTCTTGCTGCGCTCAATGAAATCCAGTCAGGAGAGAGCCAGGGATACTACACTCACACAGAGGGAGTCAAGCTACAGCTAATAGTCATAAAAATGTCGGATAATGATTGAGGAATCCCATGTCCAAATTCAGGCCGTTATCTCTTGTGTCAAATAGAATTATTATTCTTCAAAAGTTTTTCTTTCCTGAATGGATTTGAAATTTCCTGTAAGTACTAAAACATTGAGGTCTCCCATTGTGTGACCTGGTTGTGCAAAATGGTGTCCTACAGGTGTGCAGAAGTCATCTTCTTTATGTTCCTTGATGGTATGTCTGTGCAAATTCATCCTTGTTTGCAACTTCTGTCCTGTTTCGCCAACATAAGATTCTTTGCTGCATTTTCTGCACTGGATAAGATATACAACATTACTGGAGGTGCAGCTGTATGATCCGGAGATATTGAAGATCCCTTTTGAGTGTCTGACACTTTTTGATGGATTGATTTGGTTGCACAGTTTGCAGCGTTTCTTATTGCAGGGTTCGCTTCCATTATTTGTGACATCATAATCAGAAGGAAGTTTCCTACTGATTAGTTTATTTCTGAGGTTGGGGGGTTGTCTGAAGGCCAGTATTGGGGGTTGCTGGAATATTTCTTTCAGAGTAAAAAAAGTATCACGGACAGTACTCAATTGTTTCTGTCGCAAATGCACTAATACGGCTACAATCAACTCAAACAACCTGCAGTACTAAAAAACTATCCATTGCTACAAATAATGCATTAAATCTATTGGTTTTCTTCCTCCCAACAGACCCAGAGTGTCCTGAAACTATGGTGTTTTCTTTGAACCCAAGACATTGTAATGTCAGCTGCTTGTCTTTATCACAACCAGACATTCTTTGCAATCTCAGATCAATTCCCAAAGAGGGGTGTACCTGCCCAGAAGGGACATACCTATTAGAGAATGAAAAGTGCGTGTTTATAGAGGAATGCCCTTGTAACTATATGGGAAGAAGTGTCCTGGCTGGTCAGACATACAAAGTCCATAACATTCTGTGGTAAGAATCTCCAGTGTCTACACTAATTTAATAGTTTGCAACAATGCTCTGGCTTAGGATAGAACAGGTAACTTTTTAAATGTATTTCAGTTGACTTTATACAGACAACAGCAATAACGATGTTTCTTTGGTAGGATTGCACTGATACTGTTTTGTTATCGGCGAGTACAAGTACTGATACTTTTACTCAAGTACGTGCTGATACCAATTACTGATACCTTTTGTGGTATGATTTGAGCTCATACAAAATAAATGGACTCAAATCACACTGCAAAGAATCGCATGTGACCTGAACAAGAATGCGGTGAACAAGAATTCCTGTCCAAATCACATGGGTTTCCCTGCAGGTGCAGTTCGATTTTCAGTGTGATTTGAGCCATTCATTTTGTATGGATCGAATCATACCGCACCCACAGAGAAACTGTATGTGATTCGGACAGGAATCTTTTTTCAAATCACATGCGGTTCTTTGCAGTGTCATTTGAGTCCATTCATTTTGTATGGGCTCAAATCCCACCAAAAAGGTATAAGTTTTAGGTATCAGAGCATTTGCATGAGTTCAAGTACTTGTGCAAATGCTCAGTATAAGCGCTGATACAGGTATTGGTATTGGTGCAACCCTATTCTTTGGTTTAGTGAAAACGTGGTCATAATTACAAAACTCACCTTTTGGAAATTCTTGTTGTCAGGTTCTTAAGCTTTTAGTTTTCAGATCAGTTATGAATGAGAGTGCACACACAAAGTGCAATTTCAAATAAATATTTTATCTTCTGTAGCGATTAGGGTCATTCATACAAATTTACACTTGTCCATGTATGTCAACAATAATAAACAAAGATTGTATAAGGCAATAACTAAAGATGTAACTGCATAATTACACAGTTACAGAACAGTGCTCAAGTATTATGCCTCATGCACACTGGACATCTTTTCAGGTGTTCCTAGAGGCATTTGGCATTTTTTTCCTGCCTCTAAATGCCCCTGCATGTTAGCATATACTATATTTCCATGCACAGATAGGCTTTTGGAGGAGTTTATAGGGGCATTTAGAGGCAGAAAAAAAAAAATAAAACATCTAGGCTGTAGCTAGCCTAAGTCTTATTCTGTCTTCCTTTACTGCATTTGTTGTGTTTTCCCCAAGCCCAGAATATTGTTTACTTCTACCTATTGCTGGGAAGTGTTCTCAAGCAGATACAGAAGAAGAAACAACGTTATGGGTTATGAATATTTATTTCTCTCTGGCCAATCATGAGGAGGTTTAAACTTGGAGTTACTGAATACATGTGAAGTAGAATAGGTTTATAAAATGGGTAAAATAACACAATTTATGCATAGAGAAGTTAGCAATGTACAGGAATTATTGAAACTATTATAATTAGCGATGAGCGAATCGAACTTGGCGAAGTGGAATTCGTTTCGAAGATTAGGAAAAAATTCGCGCCGAATCCAAAAATTAGCAGACTTCGGATGCGCGAATCGAAATTTTCCAAAAATGGCGGCGACATGTGTGGCGATGGAGCGGGGATCTCTGGGAAGGCGCGCAGACAAGGCGCGCTGACCCATAATGCATTCATTTATGACATGTGATCGCATTAGCCAATCAGCAGCCAGCCAGCCGGCACTGTGTAATGGTGGAGCTATAAATCGCGGCCATCTTACAATTCTCCATTAGCCTCCGGTCATTCAAGAGAGACAGACCTCTCTGTATTAGGGACAGAGTTAGGGCCACAGAGACTTTAGGGACACAGAATCGTTACTTAGGGACACAGAACTGTTACTCAGGGGCACAGAATTGTTACTCAGGGACAGACACAGAATTGTTACTGAGGGACACAGAATTGTTACTGAGGGACACAGAATTGTTACTGAGGGACACAGAACTGTTACTCAGGGACACAGAACTGTTACTCAGGGACACAGAACTGTTACTCAGGGACACAGAATTGTTACTCAGGGACAGACACAGAATTGTTACTGAGGGACACAGAATTGTTACTGAGGGACACAGAATTGTTACGAAGGGACAGACACAGAATTGTTACTGAGGGAAACAGAATTGTTACTGAGGGACACAGAATTGTTACTGAGGGACACAGAATTGTTACTCAGGGACACAGAATTGTTACTCAGGGACACAGAATTGTTACTCAGGGACACAGAACTGTTACTCAGGGACACAGGATTGTTACTCAGGGACAGACACAGAATTGTTACAGAGGGACACAGAATTGTTACAGAGGGACACAGAATTGTTACTGAGGGACACAGAATTGTTACTGAGGGACACAGAATTGTTACTCAGGGACAGACACAGAATTGTTACTGAGGGACACAGAATTGTTACTGAGGGACACAGAATTGTTACTCAGGGACACAGAATTGTTACTCAGGGACACAGAATTGTTACTGAGGGACACAGAATTGTTACTGAGGGACACAGAATTGTTACTGAGGGACAGACACAGAATTGTTACTCAGGGACAGACACAGAATTGTTACTCAGGGACACAGAATTGTTACTGAGGGACACAGAATCGTTACGTTATTTTTGGGGTGCTTATAGAATTAAAGAGTATGTCAGACAACACGCAGAGGAGTGGCAGAGGAGGCAATGTTTCAGGAGCGAGCAGACGTGGCAGCAGAGGAAGGGGTCGAGGCAGCACTAGTCGCAGCCAGATGCCAGTGCTCCCGGTGTCATCCAGTGGTCGTGTCTCCACCGACAACCCTGCCGTCATCGATTGGTTGGCTCGGTCGTCTTCCTCTTCCCAGGTCACCTCTGACACCTACAGCCAACGGTCGGTGGGTACGTCAGACACAACCGTTAGTTGGCATGTCCCGGGAGCAAGCCCACTGCAATCACGTGTCCTCTACCTGCCCCTGTCCTTTGGTGTTCCCTCACCAAGCGAAGTATCGCATGCTGTGGGCTCAGCCCCACTGTACAGTGAGGAAGAGCTAACAGAGGGCGGTCAGGAATGGGGGGAGACATCCGCCTCTTCAGCAGCCAGGCGAAGAAGTACTGGCGAGGAGAGTGGCTCGGTAGCCGGTCTAGAGACAGGTCTGTCTCCTGACCCACACGCAGCCGAGGGGGCTAGTAGTGAGGCGGAGACCCTAATTGATGATGATGAGGCTGATCGCACTTGGCAGCCTCGTCGTCATCAGGCTATTGCTTCCGCATCATCAGGAGAAGAGGGTGCCAGCTTGGCAGCGAGCAAAACAGTCGGTGGGTTGCCCAGGAGGCAGCAGGGTCGCAGCAGTGTCAGTGGAGGCAAACGGCCACGGAGTAGAGCACCAGCTCCACTGCTGGTGGGTTCCATTTTGTCATAGGGTGCTGGCAGATTACGGGCCTCCCATTGCTGCTGCCAGGCCCGTAATCTGCCATGGGCCCCCGTACCGACTCCTCATGCTGCTGCCAGGCCCGTAATCTGTCATGGGTCCCTGTACCGCCTCCTCATGCTGCTGCCAGGTCCAGAGTGTGTCATGGGTCCCTGTACGGCCTCCCATTGCTGCTGTCTCCATCGCCACACTCTGCCATGTGCCACTTTCAGGTCTCCTCACACTGCTGGTGGGTTCCATTTTGTCATAGGGTGCTGGCAGATTACGGGCCTCCCATTGCTGCTGCCAGGCCCGTAATCTGCCATGGGCCCCCGTACCGCCTCCTCATGCTGCTGCCAGGTCCAGAGTGTGTCATGGGTCCCTGTACGGCCTCCCATTGCTGCTGTCTCCATCGCCACACTCTGCCATGTGCCACTTTCAGGTCTCCTCACACTGCTGGTGGGTTCCATTTTGTCATAGGGTGCTGTATGGCCTCCCATTGCTGCTGCCTCCACTGCCACACTGTGGCTCCACACTCTGGTTTTGGCCCCGTGACTGCCCAAATGATTGAAGTGTGCGGTGATTCTAAGATCGACGGCACTCATCTGCATGTCATACTGACTGACAGTATTATTTCTCTTCCCCAGCAGACTCCAAATGCATTTAAATTAAAGGTACAGTGTTCTGCACTAATATAAAGGCTCTCTGAAGCCTAGAAACACCCTTTTTATAAGTTAAATTCGCAGCGAATATATTCGCATCGAATCAAATTTATTCCTCGAATTCGCCGAATCAGCCGAATCGAATTTTTGAATACTTCGCTCATCTCTAATTATAATAACAGGAGATGCCAAGCAGCAATTCCCCTATAAGGTTATTTGGTGGCAGCAAAGTCTGAGACACACAATAGGGAGTTAAGCAATAATTACCAATGGCTACTTGCATTTCCCTTGGGACAACACCCTCTCACACAGGAAGGTAGGAAGTTTCTGGTAGCCCAGGTGAGCAGCTGCAGAGATTCCTGGACCTGTTCCACAGCGAAGAGGCAGGGAAAGGTTCTGCTCTGGGTACAGAACTCTGGACACAGATGGCACAGTGCTCCATGTAGTGACTAGGGCTTGGAAGAAATCTGCACACTCTTTTACTCAAGCCCATCACCTGGCTACAGCTCACATGCCTAGTTAGTGCAGTCCCATCTTGATTGTTGCCGACCCTGATTGATCCTGACCGTGCTGTCTTCTCCTGCCCTGACCCCTGGCTTGCCTGACCTCTCTTTGGATGCCCCCCATTGGATCTGACCTCCCCTTACTCACCCGACGAGTGACCCGACTATTCTTTGCCTGCTGCCTTGTACTGCGCTGTCACCACGGTTACCGACCCGGCCTGTCTGACCACGCTTCCACTCAGCAATCCATCCGTCCTGCACGGACCCATCCGCCTCTTCACGTCAGGCTCTTTTACAGCAGATACCTCTGGCGGATCCCTCTACCACGGGTGGGTGTACTCAGGAGCCGCGACCTGGTCTCTGTCTGCTCCAAGTCCATCCCCACCATCAGGGGCCCTGGTGAACAAGCAGACTGGGACTTAGACTCCGCGCTCTGGGGAATCCTATCCCATGGGTTGCTAGAGATACCGCCAGGCGATGCATTACAGACATATTAGTACAGTCTGTGGCACCATACGGGGTTGTTGGGTTCCCTGGACTTCCCACACCAGAGCTGTGAGTCTCTGAGTTAGTGGGGGCCGATGACTCAAGCATCGGCAAGAACCAGTCAATGGGAGCTTCCTGCACCGGGGGAAAAATTCCTTTCTGCGGGGTCAAACACCTACTGGTCATCAGCAGGCTTCCTGATTCAATCATCTCCCAGCATACAAGGCCTCAGCATATTTCAGTGGAGGCGCTTTTTTACAGGTTCGGGTCCCTCTAAGACTAGGTCATAGAAATGGGTAGGTGGTTTGGTATTCTTTATCAACATCCGGTCCACTGGTCGCAAGGGCAGCGCTTTCAGAGTCAGGTGCCATCTCTTTGAGCTTGTCTAACATCAGCTGCTTGGCCTTTTGCTTCCGCTCCCAAAATTCATGTGCCCAGAAGCTGTGCGTTTGGTGGTGTTCCGATGTTCTCAACTGGAGGTCTATCAGCATCCAGCCGTATCACGCAGAAAGAAGGGCATGTAGCCAGTGGACTTGTGCACAGTGTTGTTGTAGGCTCAAACCACAGGCCCCATGCATTGTGCCATTGATCTTGTAGCTCAGCTTTGGAGTTCATAGAATTCCCAGCACGGTGCAGTTAAACAGCTCACAGGTGCCATTACCCTAGGGGTTATAGGGGGTGGTGTGGGACTTCAAAATGCCGCTGAGGAGTTCTGTCTTTTTGACTGACTCAACGTTCTGGCCTTGGCCTGTCCGGATTTGCTTTGGGCAGCCAAAGGGTTGGACATTTTACTCCCAGAAAAGTTTGGCAGTAGTGGTAGTTGTTTGATCCTTGGTGGATACCACCACCACGAATTTGGTGAAGTGGTTGATGAAAATCAGAGCTTAACCAATAACCAGAGGATGCACTGGAGATCATCAAAAAGTCCACTGTCACCAATGCGAAAGCTTCAGAGGTGGTGTTCATCATGGCTGTTTTTTCTCAGGAGGATCCTTGTGTATAATACAACTTTCACATTCCTGGCAAGCTTTGTGCACCCAATCCAACAAGTAGGGGCATAAGAAGTATCTCTGAACTAGTGATCTGCCCCAAATTGGTGGTCTATCATGTTGGGCACCTGACAAATTTTCAGGATATGCGACTGGGAGACCACAACATGTAGGATATCCTGTTGCTCGGTGGGGATGCGTGCGTGATTGTAGAGTATCTCTTCTCCCATTATAGCCAGTTCCATTGTCTTATGATGGCCAAAACTACAGGGGACAACTTTATGGCACTCTTGGTAGGTTGGTTTGTGCTTTTGGGAGTGGTAGCCCTGCACCTGCATCAGGTCTGGGTCTTTCTGTTGAATTTGTGTCCACTTCTCTCCTGACCATAAAATTTGGCAGTCTTGATCTGTGGGTTTGTATCTTGTTGTGGCTGGCACAGCAAAACAGGAGCGACCTCCACATCCTCCTGGTTAGAGTCTGGGCATTCCATTGGGAACTGGGACAGAGCATCGGTATGCCCGTTATGCTTCCCTGGCTGATAGTGGATCTTGAGCTTGAATCAGACCAACTTCGTGGTCTACAGATAGGCCAGAGAGTTTTTGTCTCTGAAAACTTCCATATCTACGTCTGTGAGATATTCTGCAAATGTCTTGGTGATGTCTCAGACCAGGAAGAGAAATGCAAGCTTAAAAGAACTATATTTGTGAAGATTCTTTTCAGTGAGTGAGAGGTTATGCCTGGCTTAAGCGATCACCCTCTCTTGGCTATTCTGCCTGCACTTGGGCCCAAACCCTGGAGACTCCCATTCATATACACCCGGAAGGGCTGGCTGTAGTCCGCATAGGCCATCAACGGTGCATAGGTCAGACTTTGCTTTAGCATTTTGAAGGCTTGCTGCTGGGGATTATGCTATTGGTCCTGGATAGAAGGTGGAGCTGGGCAAAAGTCAGGATGAACCACAGGTAATACCCCGCTAGTCTTAAGAAGGAAAGCAGCTCAGTGGTAGTCTTTGCAGGGTGCTAGTCCTGGACAGCTTGTACCTTGGCTGGGTCTGGAGACACGCCTCTACAATATGCCCTAAGTACTGTATTTTCTGTGCCATGATGTGGCACTTGCTGGGCTTAAGTTTTAGTCCAGATTGTGCCAATCAGGAGAATACCCAGTCCAGATGTTTTATGTGCTCTTCGAACGTTTTGGAAAAAAAATTATTATGTTATCAAGGTAAAATAATACAATCTCAAAAATGAAGTCTCCAAGACATCTCTCCATTAGGTGTTGGAAAGTGCTGGGTGCATTGCTGAGGCTGAAGGGCATACAATTAAACTCATACAGTCCCAGAGGTGTAATGAAGGTGGTTTTTCCCGATCCTTGTCCTGCACCAGGACTTTCCAATAACTGTTGGGCCAGATCCAGGGTAGATGAAAACTTGGCTTGTCCCAGGGCCATTAGAGATTCCTAAACCTGAAGCAGTCGGTAGGCATTCCTGTGGGTGCATGCATTGAGTATAGGGTAGTCAGAATCATAGTCTGCCATTCTTCTTTCACACAGTATGCCCAAGGACTGTGGCTTTCCCTGGATCACTCCAATCTGTAACATGTTGCAGAGTAATTCACATAAATGTATGATAGAAGGAGTAGTGTAAATGAGTAAATGAAAAAATATGACTTCCTGAGGTATCATCCCACTTATAAATGTACAAATTGAGGTGTGGAAATGAGACTTTAATTATACCCCATGGGTTCACAAGTGGACCTATATGTTATACACACAGACACAAATATGCATACAAATTACATTGTCTATTAAATTGACATATAAAAATAACCATCTCTAGGTACACGTCTCTTGCATAAAAAATGCGTCCAAAAGCGTAGGTCGACGTGTTTCGCGGGTATTCACTCTTCTTCAGGACCCACAAATCATTTATTTGAAAATATGCATTCTCAAATCTGAAATATTTCTAAAATAGAAAAAAGAAAATACCAATGAAAAAAAGGGAAAAGACAGAAAATATTTTTAAGAATTAAACATTCACTTTATATCTGTAAGCCACTTAGTCCTAATATATACATACCTAGTATGAGTCAAAAATAGCTTGTACATAGGACACAATTAAATGGCAGACAGTGTCTCCAAGAAAAGCAGAAACCACATCCCCAGCTAGATTACAATATAGATATCTTACAATATCTGTATGATCTCTTAATCATGTAACATTAACATTTTAAAATCTGCACCCCTCAGGATAATGTAAAGTCATTTAATTGCTTCCTATGAACAAGCTATTTTTGACTCATATTGGGTATCTATATATTGTGACTAAGTGGCTTACGGATATAAAGTGATTTGTATGCACATCAACATATTCTCCATGATGTGCTCTCAGGACATTATTTTTATCTCTGCTGTTATATGATTATTTCATAGAATCTCTACTCTAGCTCTGGGGCCTTGATGTCTTCAGGGGTGATTTCCCTTGAGCCGGCAAGCGCATATAATAGACACACATATTTCATATGTACTCTAAGACTTGTTCTTACATCTCCTGCTTCCCAACACATAGGGGTAGGAGCAGTTCACAGTGTATGGCTGCATTGAATGTCTGATAATATATATGGTTTATAAATAAACTATTTTATTTCACTGGCTCTCCTTCTGTCATATAGACAGGGTCTTTTTCTGTATGTATGTATATGATTAGTTTGTTTATTTTTCAAAAATATTTTCTCTTTTTGCTTTTTTTCATTGGTATTTTCTTTTCTTTATTTTAGAGATATTTCAGATTTGAGTATGTATATTTTCAAGTAAATGATTTGTGGGTCCTGAAGAAGCGGGAATACCCGCGAAACGCATCGACCTATGTTATTGGACGCATTTTATTCCAAGAAAGGTGTTTGTACCTAGAGATGGTTATTTTTATATGTCAATTTAATAAATTAGGTAATTTGTATGCATATTTGTGTCTGTGTGTATAACATATAGGTCCACTTGTGAACCCCTGAGGTATAAATAAAGCCCCACTTCCTCATCCCAATTTGTACATGTTGCAAAGTAAGTC